CGCTGTAAATTATAGTTATATATATATATATATATATATAATATATATATATATATATAACTACTAACGTGGATCTCATGGTATTTTAATATAATAAAAATGTTTAAGGAAATAAGGAAAATCCTTATCAAAGAAAAGAAAAGGAAATGGAAGATCCCACCGTCGCCAAACGATTTATACGTCCGTCGAAATGAAATGAGAAGAATTACAACGTGTTTAGATTTTTTTTTTTATTGAACACTTTTATATCACAAAGAAGCTAGTGTTAAATTTCCGATTTTGCATGGTGTAAAACTACTATAACTGAAACACAAACCGCCTCTCTTCGTCTCTCACGTTATTTTTCTTGACCCGTATATATGCAAAATTTTCTCTCTTATAAAACTAACAGATTTCATAATTGCGATAAAAATATTTCTAAAAATTATATTAGACTCCTTAGAAAAGAAAAAACTATCCTTAAAACTATATTATATAAATTATTGATAGAATGTATATATTACAGTTTTACATGCAACCAAGCAGAGCGGATGTACACGTTTTGGTGTGGGTGCAAGTTCCCCATCAAACTTTGGTTTGTCTTATGTAATTATGAGAGACAAATGGAATAATCGGTTAGAAGTAGTCATTTTTTCCCTAGTGATCTTTAATTCCGAACCATTCTTTTATACTTTTTTTTTTGTCGGCCAACTTATCCATTAGATAAAGAAATATAGTACAAAAACGTTTAGAAATACATTTAACAGACCCAAGAAGCAACCATAGGAGAATTTTTTAGCCTAGCTTTTTTTGCTAATCTATCAGCAAGAACATTAAATTGACGCGGGATAAACTTAAAGTGATAGAAATCTTCAGCCATAGCAAGGATATCCTCCAAATACGCTTGGATCTCTATATGGCCAGAATTAGGTTCACTGTGCTGCTCTGCTTGTTCAAGATAATGAAAAAGAGTAGATGAATCACCACAAAGAGTGACATTGCGATAATTCAGTTTCCTGAGTTGCAGCAAGGCTTCCGCTTCAATAGCTGAGCTAGTAGGTTCAAGTGAAGAAAAGCCTTGAAGTATATTTCTATGCTGAGCATTAAATAGAGCCCATCCAATGCCTGCTTTGCTTTCAGGATTAATCCAGGATCCATCTGTGCAACAATAAAATTGAGAGTCAACATGTAAGGGGGCAATAGAAAACCATTCTTTTATACTTAGCATGTACATGCTGTGGTGTGGGTGTAAGTAAATTCGAACCATTCAATTGCCCCCAATTAAAAATGTTTTTTTTTTTATTTAATTGGGGGATAGTAGTTCCATATACTCGATAAACTATACATCAACAATTTTAAATTCCTTTATTATTCAGGTCGTAAAATATAATTCGTGGTCCTTTTAATATAAAATAATCCAAGTCGCTCACGTTTTGTTTTTTTTTTTTTTTGTTTTTTTTTTGTTTTTTTTTGCTGTCCAAAAAAAAAATATGGAAGTGGAAGTGACATAAAAAGAGCTTCAATCGAATACACAAAACCATCCCGATTAATTAGTTTCTTAGCAAAGCAAGAATGTGTTTTCCAAAGCTTCCTCTTTTGGGGCTGTTCCTGCCCCTAGCCATCTTAAACTCTCCGGCCTCCGCCGATGGACCCATCTGTCCTCAGACCGAGACACTCAGCCGAGCTAGTTTTCCCAAAGGCTTTCTCTTTGGCACGGCCAGTGCTGCGTTTCAGGTTAATACAAATCCAATGTTTATTCTTCACATTGGTAATAGTTCTTTTCATGTAACAACAACAACAATGAACGATAACGAAAAAATTTGGTTATTTTAATTTGTTATTGTTAGTTCCACGACATTTCGCCCTTTATCAACAATATATAAATATATTTCGACAACATTATCATGGTCGTTTCATTTGTCGTTGTTGCGACACATTTCGGCGATTAGTTTTAAAATGTTAAAGTTTATATTATTTGAAAAGTCTAGTGAAAAAGACCAAAAAATTTTACCTATCTCAATATAGGAATAAAAATTAATTTTTCTTATCTAATATATGATTTTCCTATCTTTCTAAGACTTCTTTTCTTTGTAGTATACCATTGCTTAGACTTCAAATCCATTTCCTAGTTAAAGGTTGTTGGTTTGAGCCTTTGCCAACCAAAATGTATGCTCTCGGCTAATTTCTTAATGTTCTTTTAGGTTGAAGGAGCCGTAGAAGAAGCTTGTAGAGGACCGAGCGTGTGGGACATCTACTGTAGGAAATATGCATGTATGTCACTCGCCAAAATGCATACTCATGATTTCTTATTAATGGATTTTTGTCTGATATTCCAGCCTTAATATTAAATTTGTTAAAAATAAAATAAAATTTCAGTCAGATGCAGTGGCGATAACGGCGATGTGGCCACTGATTTCTACCATCGTTACAAGGTACAAAATGTTGATAATCAATAAAAATAATAAATGAATAATTAATGACAAAGAATGCATGTACATATGTTTACTTTATGTTTAGACTGATTCGTGACTTTACATCTGACATGTTTTCAGGAAGATATTAAATTAATGAAGAATTTGAACTCAGACGCCTTTAGGGCATATGCATTGGTATAACTTGAAAGATGGATCTTAGGGAAAATTAAGTATTAAAATAATGTAAGAGCTTGAGTGTAGATCATTTTTAAATGAGTTGATTATTGGTAAAACATGTTCTTAAGTAATAAATAATAATTTAATAATTTAACTCCATTTTCTCTTCATCTACACACAGCACAAGTAGACCATTTTTCTCATCAGGATACTACATTAGCCTTTATGAGAGAGTAGCAAAAAATGTGAACAAGATAAAACTTTTCTCTAGCATTGTATGCACAGCATGAAACGGAATTGCAGCAAAAAGATCAGCTCCTGGGAGCATCATCCACGTCGGTTCACTAGAGTCATGGGATCCACAAGTCGAACAAACTTCCTGGACCAAAGGTTTGGTTGAGCTCCCATGGATATCCTTTATCATAGAATCGAATGGAGAAAGAATACTAGTCTTTGTTGTCCGAGCTCTCTTCCTAAGTGCTGTAAGAGCTTCTCGGTTCACATTCCTCTCCTTGTCATTCTCCACCATCCACTACAAGAAATCAGCCCATTAACGACTACAACATTAGTCGTAAAATAGTCGTTAAACATGCAAAGACGACTATCATACGACTAATATATATAGTCGTAAATCCGTAGTCGCTAAACTTTTTAGTCGTTAAATTAGTCGTTATTTTGCGACTAAATTACGACTATATATGATGAGTCGCCATATTAGTCGTAACATAGTCGTAACTATAATACGACTAACTTACGACTATGCTACGATTAAACCGCATGTATAGTTGGTCTCCTAAGTGTAGTCGTAACTTAGTCGTAAAGTTTTAGTGACTATGTTACGACAATTTGGCGACTAATAATACGACTACGTTTATTAGTGACTACGTAGTCGTTAAATTTTGTGTCTAATATGCGACTATTAGACTACTATTTTTACGACTATTAGGCGACTATGTAGGTTGATAG